GTACACCATTGGCCTATGCAAACTGGTGCACCTTTTTTGAAGGGAAACAGCAAATGTTTTGAAATTAAAATATAAAAATGTGCATATTAATCCCACACCTGGGAATTTTGTCTACAGATAAATCTCATGCAAGTTAGCAAGCTATATAAACAAGTATGTTTACTGTAGCATCTTGTAATAATAACCTAAAGAAAATAATGAACACCTTTACATAGTAAATCAATGAAATGAACAGAATGATATAACAATGCAGCCTTTGAAAAGGTGAAGTGGATGTTTATTTACTGATACGTAAAGATATCCAAGATTAAATCTGTGGAGAGAAATATAATGGCGATTAACTACTTTCTATAAGAATTGAGAAGATAGAAAGGGGATATGTCTGTACTGTTTGAAAATTTACCATAAGCATGTATTATTTTTATTATAAAACTTAGCTTTAAAAGCTTTAAAAGAAAGCTTACCTAACCTAAGAAAGCCGTCAAGAATTGGGGGAAGGGGAGTACTGCATGAAGACAGAGACTGAAAATATTCCACAAATAAAGATACAGTTAGAGGAGATTCAAATGCACTAAAGAAGGAATTGGAATACAACAAATGGTAAAGTGGAGTTGGGTCTTAAATAATGGTGCTCCTGTCATATCACACCTGCCTTGTAATTTGGACACACAAAAGTCATGGTTATGTCATCAGTTAAGTAAAGGACAGTGGCAATCACTGCATAAACAAGTATAGATTTTAAAGACCAGCATTCAGTGTAGGTTAGATGCCTCCCAACTAGGCTCTTAGGATTCATTACAGAACCTGCCCAATGCAAAGGTTAATTAGAAAAACCCATCTCAATTTAACTATGCCAACCCTTTATCCTTATTTAGCACGAATAAAAACTGAAATAATGTAAACAGGCTTCCTGCCTGACCTTACTTTTTTTAATTCATATTTAATGGCAAGTTTTAAACGGCTGAGATTTGGACGGCCGTGGTCTCCACCACTGTGGTGTATTTCAACATCCCCATTCAGAATGGCCTCTACTTCTTCAGTATTTCTGCACAGATCAAGGAGTCCAACAACAAAATCTTTGCACTGCATTGATAGTTTTTTGTAGTCATTCTAGGAAAGACAAAGCACAACGACAACAACAAAAATCATAATGTAGAAGTAGCACCTTTTACTATGCTACTCAGCAGAATTTATCAGTGGCTTGGCTTGTAGAGAAAACAAAGAAAAATTCTTGTTTTAGATTTACTGTTCTTTTAACGTGCTTTAATTGCTGTTCTGCTGAGTGATCTTTACAACATCTTAGCACCATAAAGATTTTCTTCATATCCTAAAAAAAGAAATTTGCCTAGAGCATAATGAAAGTCATCAGAAATGAGGGTACTATGCCAAACTCACCTGCTGATTCAGGAGAAATATAAAGCAACTTTTGCCACAACTTCATGTACATCATATCTCTTATGTCTGTAACTTTATCAGCTAGGCACATAACACACATTTGATCAATCTTTGGANAGATGTCTAAATACTTTCTTAGGCTTCTAGTCAAGATGGCACAGTAGATAAACACTGTGCTTGCCTCCATTCATGACCACATCAAAATTACAACTAAACTACAGAGCAACAATCATTGAGAATTGCCTGAAGTCTAGCTGAACAGAAATCTTATCACTAAGGACATTCAGAAGCCACCTTGAGACTGGTATGAGGGGCAGAGACATGGAACAGACTGGTCCCACACTCACATGTGGTGGTTAAAAATCAGGAGGGCTATCTCAGCTGTGGAGGTACTTTGAAAAAGTGAGGGTTCCCAGCTTCACACCAGGCTCCCTAGCCCAGGGTTCCAGTGGGGAGAGAAGTCCCCATTACTTCTGGCTCTGAAAACCAGTGGAGATTGTGGCTGAATGAGATGGAGAGTGGCTGGAGTCTCAGGTGCTCCTCTTAAGGGTCCACACATGGACTTACTCTCTGTGAGCTCCAGAGCTGGGGCAGCAGCTCAAAAGACTCTAGGGGCATATGGTGAAGAACTGAATTGTCTGACCTCAGGGTGAGGGCTAGAGGGGCAGCTTTCTCGCAGGCAGAAGTTCTGGCAGAAGCCACTGTTCCCTTGTTGAGCCCTTGCCCAACCTAGCATGCAAACGCAGGCAGGCACCATATCTGAGTCTCCATCAACCTGGCTAACACTGTTCACCCCACCCTGTTGATTCCGAGATCCTGCCTCACATAACTTGCAGGCCTACCGAAATCCTTCCATTGGCTTTTCCATACAAACGGTCTGTCTTGGCTCATGCTGCAGACTTTTGACTAAAATCTTTCAAAGGTTCACAAACCCCAAGTAAGCAACATCTTGCCTCAGCATGCCCTGTACCAATTGGTAAGCAGCCCCAAGCCCAGAAACAGCAGCAGCCAGCCTCAGTTCACAGCTTAGCCTCTCCCAGGCACTTCTAAATGCAGCAAAAGTGGCAACCATCAGCAGATCAGTTTGTAGCTCAAGCCAAGGCAGGGCACAAGCAGTGTTGACCTTGGCCTGCAACACAGCCCCTCCAAAGAGGCCCCACAACCAAAATGCCCAGTAGCCAGCTTCAGACCACACCAGAGCACCACACAACCACCTCCACAAATAACACATCAAAAGGGCAGACTGGACAGGCACCAGAGCCATGCTAAAGCGAATCCTGTTCCATTGGGTCAGCCCTTGCACAAGAGTTCTTCCACTGTAGCCATGGCCAATCCTCACAACCAATCAGCCCAAGGGTCAATCCTTGCCATTGGTGTACAAACAGCAACCAAGACTCAGCTATCACAGGGGGGCAAAAACAACCCACACAAGTGACACACTTGGAGGACCCAGCTCAGATAGTAGGGAGACTGTGCCACTGGGCCCCACAGCACACCTACTATTTAAGGCCACTCTACTAAGACCAAAAGACATTGTAGCTCTACCTAATATATAGAAACAAACACAGGAAGGCACCCAAAATATGGAGACAAAGAAACATGTCCCAAATGAAAGGACAGAACAAANTAAGGCAGAAGAGATTAGTGAGGATGAGCCTTTTTAATGTGACTTGGAATGATTTCTAGAACTCAAAATTTTCATAGGACATTGGCTAAAACAGATAAGACTTTTATGTGATTTCTTTCAGATTCAGTATGTGTAATTCAGTGAGGTATTTATCAAATCTATCAAGATGTATTTATAACACCTACAGTCAACCCTCTTTTGACTTTATTTCATAAAATCATATATATCGCCAAAAAAATGTTTACACATTTTAAGAGATGTTTTGGTCAACGTTGCTCAAGCAGTAATTCATCATAATCAGAAGTGTCTAGACGCTGATGGTAACCACTTTGAGCTCCTCTTGTAACTGCAGAAGTCAAACGTGACTTGTATTCATCTCTTGTTATTAATATATATTAATATGATTTTTTTCCTTTCTTAAAATGTGTATACATATTTTGGCACCTCTGTGTGTGTGTGTGTGTGTGTGTGTGTGTGTGTGTGTGTGTGTGTATGACTATAACTAACAAAAACTAAAGTAACATACCAAAATATTTTTAGCAGGATATCCCTTTTTCTTTCATCAAATACATAGCAAAAATATGAACATGATTAATCCAACTAAAAATTCATTTCCAGTAAGAATTGTGTCATATATTCAAAATTAATTTTTCAAAATTTGTATTTATTTTTTATTTCAAACGATGGTGTTCAATTTATGTAGTTTTATTCAAATGCATAAATAATGGATGTAATAGTAACTACTCCAGAATATTTTTAATATCCAGAGCCTTATGATCACAGGAAATAAAAAATTCTAAAATTTCATGTATAAATTTCATATATACATATATAGGTATATACATATATAAAATTTCACATACAGATAGTAATTATGAGAGACTACAATAAAAAACTATCACATTAGGAATCACATTTGTGGAGAAAATTAGACTAGAAATATAAGTTCAAGGAGAAGAAGGAAAGATGTAACTATTCTGAATGTTAAGGAAGAAGTTGTTCACTTATTTTTAAAATAAATGATAATGAGCATCAAATCTTTGTAGCATTCAGAGGCTCCTGGATACATTTGAATGAGCGATTTAAGAGTTCCATTTTTAAATGTTGGTATTTACACCATGCAGAAAGTATGTATGTATGTGTTTCTCAAGTCAAACTGTGACTCCCTTCAGCTTGTTCATCTTTCTGACATCAACAGCATCTGTCACCATGCTCTGAATACAGAAACAGTGTTTTATAGGAGAAAGAACATGGGTTTTAGAGTACAGCATACCTGGATTCTGATCCCAGCTCTGTCATTTACCAGTTGTTGATCTTGGGCCTTACTTAACCTTTTTATACCTCCATTTCTCCATCTGAAAAGGAACTAATATCTTCTCAAGGTTGTGATAAAGATTAGATATAATAAATATAAAATGTCTAGTATATAATAGAATATCTCTAATGGTAGCGATCACCACTTGTACTACATATAATAATAACCGAGCTTGTTGAAATACAATAAAATTACCTACTGTCCACCATAACTAGCAAAATGCTGAGAACACAGTGAAAGCTTGTAAACAGACCTTGACTTCAACTTGTAGAGGGTGAAGTCCTTATGGTTAAAGACCTACCTTGAACTCTTTCTCAATGTTGGCCAGCACTGCCAGTTCATTGCTAAGTTCTAAAGCTGTCATGACTGGATCTTCACTAGACAATGACAGGTAAGCTGGACTTGCCAGGCCTTTATAAGCATTAATCCTAGATCTGGAGTGGCTAAAGGAGTCATGCTTCTGTTTCTGGTTGCATTTGCTGCACTTGCAGAAATAATCATGAGGCCGTTCAATCCGGGCACCCTTCCGCAAGAGAGTGTGCACAATTTCATATTCCTGGCACTGGGCAGCCAGAATGATTGGAGTCACGTCATGGGAGAACCGTGTCCCATCTTCATCATAGGCATAAAAATCATCTTGCTGGAGTTCAGACTGGCTGGGGCTGGTTGCTAACCTCTTTCCTTCAGCAAAAGCTGGATGACTAAGAATGGCTTCCACAATTCGAACATAACCCTTACTAATAGCTAGAAGCAAGGCATCCCCGACACGAGACAGATTTTCTTTCTTGAGCAGAAGTTCTGTAATTTCCAGATGCTCATTGGCCACTGCCAACTGCAGGGCATTCTGGCCCATGTAATCCACACAGTTAACATTGAGTGAGAGACATTCTTCTAACATCTTCCTCACCACTGGGATGTTGCCATATTCAGCTGCATCTAAAAAGCGTTCCTCCTCAAAAGACAAGCTTGTTGAATGATCATTAAACATATATGCTGGTCCTCGGTTAGCTAACCTTCTCCCCTTCTCCCGGAGAATTGTCTGCCGCCGGTGAACCAGTCTGTTGTCGGTGCCTCTGCTGTAATAAAATAGAAAGATTGTGAACAAATCATATTAAGAGCATTTTAGTGTGCCAAATGACTTGCCATCTAATGCAATCCTCAAACATATTAGATGTTGTCTCATGGTCTCTAGACCAACTATAATGTAAAATGAAGATGCATTTATTTGTTAATGAATTCCAAGAACTTCTCCTTTAAGAAAGTCAACTTTGCATATTATAACATTCCAATTTGGGGTTGAGAGTCTTGCAATTCCCATCGTCTCTCTGTGGCATTCATGTACAGACTAACTTGTGTTTTACAATTACAGATACTATAGAAATAAGAAAGGC